AAAGGCTGTACTCGGTGTGACGGTTTTGAGGTTCTACGATGAGCTACCGAGTCACCAATATTAAAAGCCTAAATTATTGGAACACCTGTCTTTTCCCTAGATTCACTTCCGAGTTCACACCTGTAATAATGGGCACCGCGCCATTGATGCATTTGTACCGACAGCGTGCCAATAGCCAAGCCAGTCTGCAACAAGCTCGTCTGCAACAAGCTCGTCTGCTATTGCGCAAACTTTTAAAAAGCTAGCATCCGGCAGCGACATGGTCGCTTCGTGTTTTGACGGCGAGAACGATCGTTTTGCTAAGACACCTGCTAAAAAATCTGATAGAGTTTTATAAATGGACGTTGTGAATAGCGAAAGTAAGCGATTCGGTGAGCTAATCAGCGCGTGCAATGCGGGACCAATTACCGCTATCGATGTACACCGCTTTACCTGATTCGTTGAGACACATAGAAACAGTAAGCTGGCTCCGCACACTGGCGAAAATGTCAGCAGGATGCCATGTTAGGATAGATACGTGCTTTAGAACGATTTGCATATGGCGTGATGATTCGCAGCGGGCAATGTTCTATCCGGCAAGCCTTTCCTACACGTGCACGATACTGTGATCGTCGGTCGGCCACTTAACGGCAGCACGAACATGTACTGAACAAAGCGCTCTCGATCATACACGGCACGGATAAATAATTACCTTGTGGCTATAGCGAAAATTCAAATAGGGGTATCTTGCTGTCATGTAGAAATTTACCGACAAATCTGTCAAGCTAGAACTGAAAGTCAAATAAATTTTTGTGCGTCTAGATAAGCCTTCGTCTCGCAGCTATTACATAATGCGGTGTGAGATAATAGGCTTTGAAGTGGTTTCAATTCGCATTAAGAGTATATACCAAATCGACAGAGTAGCTTCGGTAGCAAACTAGACTTGTGTTTAGAAGAGCATGGTAGTAGTGGCCCCTATTTGCGTTTTTCTTTTTGGTTTTAAGGAGCAGCTTCCAATTTCTTCATTAGTTTACAACTGTACTCAGCCGTAATAAAGTTAAGTCACTATTGGCCTCTGGTGAACCTGCAGTGCAGAGAATGTAACTATGGGCACCGACGTGTATTGTGGGAGCCACACCAACCCATTTTGTGTATTGGTCATCGCCGTATGAAAAACTTTCTTTGACCCAAATATCTGTGCGGAACGTTTCTGACAAAGAGCACAGCGTTCTTCGCAAAAACAGGCCAAGAAGGGCCACTGCCTCTCTTGGCTCAAGGGCGGAGAGAGACGATACGCTCCTCCAGAAACAAAGGTGTAGCCTTTCGATACGGCCGAGCCCGAAAGCTGCTCGGGTAAACCGTGTCCTCTAAGTAAACATCTATATTCGGTCGTATCGTCTTGTTTGCGTTTTATCTCTGGCTAGTAATGCTCGCCGTCTAATGTGACGCTGAGACTCACCCGTTATAAATCCGGATGTATTCAGATCTTTAGTTACATTACATATTTTGCATTTTATAAAAGTGTTCGAAGATACCGACATGAATTTAGAAAATCATTCGCATAGAGAATTTTCAGCTTAGCTTCTATTTTGCGTACGAACCCTCACGGTTTTTTAGGGCAACTAGGAAATAGAAAGTTTAGGTTACAAGAAGTTGTGGAATTCGCTTGTGGAGAGCTTTTTCGGATGGCAAAGGTTTTTAATTACGGAAGTTGACGTCATTGCGGCACACGGCCAGGCTGATTTTAATACTCTATTTGGCAAAAACGTTTTTATTGGTACTGCATATTCCATGTTAAAATGCCTGATCATCTTTATGCTTGCAAATGACGTGGATATATTTTCGTCACGTAGAGACGCAGCTGCTTAGCAATGCGGTGCAAATCTGTCTTCGTCAGTTCCATATTATTGCGCGATAGCATGAAAAACTTGACAATGTATTGAACAAAACTTTCGTCAATAAATGGCGTGTTACTGTGTGACGAAATAAATACAGCAATATCGCAGCGCAATGAATGCACAATAGTTTTTTTTACAGTGGAGTTTCAAGATTTAATAAATAGCGACGATGTACCATACAATGTGTGTGACGTAAGGGAAGCCATTTTTCATATCTTCATATAATAAATGTAAAAGTAATTAATATTTTTCAAGAGCCTTAAAAATACCACGTCATCTTCGAAAGCAATCTATCTGCTATACGCAAGCCAATATTTCAGTTAGTTGTCCTAGGTTTAAAAAGCACAAGCTGTCCTCCCTTAGTTGTTACCTGAGCAGACGTCACTAGTGTCCTAATGTTTAAGGGTGGACAAAATTCATGCCGTCCGTGAAAAAAAGGTTCTGCTTAAGTGCCAATAAAGGCCAATACTGGCAGCTCGGTTGAGTTGTGCATGCAGCGCAATATCACTTCGGCCGAGTTATTGCGTCCGTGCTTCTTCATGAAGGTTTCCCGTGAAAATGTCACCGAACGAAAGCGTTCGAACTAACGAACCTCTACTTCAAAATCTTTGTGAATAATCAACGCAGCTCTGATATTTTCATTTAAAACCTCGTAAAATTATACCTTGCTCTTGGTGGTATAAAACACTTGACGAATAATTATTGAAATAGTTATTTCATTGTTATAAATAAAGTAGCTGAAGTAATCAATCTTGGTTAAGTTCTGTTTTTTGGCAGTTATTTTTTCAAGCTCCTCAAGATCAGACCTCATATTCAATGTCGAAAAATTAGACACTGAATAATCATCCGTAAATGCTAGGGGGGTTAAACGCCATTTCATTCAGTGCAGAACATCCAGGTCGAAAGCATCATCGAACATATTTGGTAAGGGCTAAATCTGCTAAGAGATAGGATTCGGACGTCCAGCAAGATACGTACACCGATACAGATAATTTATCGTACGTAGCCGTGTATGAATAGTGTAAGGCAACTCAAGGTCGTGATGACAGACTCTTTCTCAATGTATTTAGTGCTTAGTAGTCAACTTTGATAGTGTTTCATTTGGTGGTATAAATTAGCTAATTAGCTAGAGCTGAACCAATGTACGCCCGCTAATATATGTCCACGGTCGGATCTATTGTTTTTTTTCACACGATATACTTAAATGCTACTACAGTGTATTTCAATCACAATACATTTTTCTGTATGGTAACCTTATATGTAAAAACTAGCTTTAGAATATAGTTTCAAAAAAAGCTGATAGATAGAAAAAAACTATGCCGTTATATTGTTATTATACAATTATTTAATTTCAGTTCCGAACGTTATTCTCGTTTCGAACATGTAACTCGTTCATTCTCTGTTTTTTCTTCTTTACAGACTATTATCACTAAAACCCAGAGATTCTTTGTTTCGTACTCTCCGTTAATATGTAGTGGATGTGGAGTTTTCATTGAATCTCACTGGACGCTAAGTAGAGTCGCACGGCATATGAAAACCCTTATGATAAGAATCGCAATTTTAGATGTGCCGTTAAACCCGGACCTACCGTTAATACGACTAGCTCTATCTGCAATAGCGTTTACGTTACGTGCCATTTCTACTCTGCCTCAAAGGTCCAATAGAGGGAGAAAGGCAAGGCTCGTCATTGTCGCTATACTTACGAGTGCAAATACTTGCCTCGTGATTTTCTTTAAGGTCCATAGGTTTAGTGGTACTGAGAAAAACGTACCTTCAACAAAAACAACGGTGTGTATGGTAAGTAGATATCCAAAATGGAATTCTTTAAATAGAATTGAACAGATTTTTGCGACAGCAATTGGTTTTATGATGTGACGTATGCTGCTATCTGCCGATACGTAAGATAACTACCTAACATTGGTGCTATCAGATAGCAATGTAATGTTTAACGTTTGTGGTGAAGCGCGGGACCACTACCGACTCATCCGTTTATTGATCAGCATGCTCTGGATAGGTTTATAGCCATCCGTATCAATGCCATTGCGGTAAGTTTACCTTAGCTAAGAGCGCAGGCTGCTAGCATCAAGAAAATACGCTCGAAAGATTACCAATCCACGGAGCAGAAGTACAGATGGACACTTTTTGTTCTAGCGTCATCGGAACTGCAGCGCAGTAAAGGACAAAATATGTCTACCATTCAACTTCTCACAGTTACTTAGAGCGAAATTATTGCAATGTGTATATGCAGGATGAACGCGCAAAAGGGAAAAGTATTCTTAACAAAACACCAAATATTATTTACCAAACGTTAAGTCATTATCAAGCTAGCTGAATGAGCACAGAAGTTAACATCGAAAAAAACTTTAAAACATTGAGTTCCATTTAATATATTAGCTAATACTTGCTATACGTTTGTGATACTGAATCTCTTTATTGATTGCTGACCGCTGAAATATTCGGTCGGATACGTCGTGCTGTAATGTGAACATAGCAAAAAGTTCACGTAAATTCCGTCTAGTCACTTCGGATTTCGAAGGGTAGACGATATTGAAATAGGTTTAATCATCCTGATAAAATACGCAACTATAAATTCTCAATAACCACTTTTAAAGAAACTGGTAATTCATTTTCTGAGCTGCAAACATCACGTTTGAATGTCCCAGTTTGTAGCTGACCTTCTTTGTTCTGCGATGCACCGTATACAACCCTCTAGGTTTTTTTTCTACATTGGACCTGGAATCTTATTGTCAGCTTTATACTGATCGTCCAAATCGTTCGGCCGTACATTTAGATTAGGCTATTCACTGGAAATATTTAACTAAATAAAACCCACACACGCCCATGTGTCTTGTATTTTTTGTTGAGACCCATGACGTGAGAGGTCACGGAGTCAACCGCAGTCATTGACTAGTTTTTATTTTAGTTCCGAAACAGTGAAAAAAGCATGAGCTGAGGCGGAGTACGGTAGTTCGGATCAGGTTGCCATTTCGTTGCGTAATCACACTGACTCATACTTCGCATGAGACTCTAAGAGATCACTCTATTGTAACGCTCTAACACTCCAATGTAAAGTAATGCGGGCATAAGGGTCGTAATATTCTACACGCCAAGACCATAACTTACGGAGGAGTCTTCGAGCATTTGGAGATCTCCGCCCTCGCTTCCAAACGTCGATGAATACGATTGTTTCGATGAAGTCTCAAACGATTTCACCTCACCGGAGTCGATATGCGTTATCTTGCTCGATCGCGTAGAATAACCTGTTATTCCACCCTCCATTTCCACCTTAAAGCAATGGAAGAAACAGAACAGACGGCTTATTCTAGTAAGGAAGTGCTAAGTCAGCTGTCAACAAGTGCAAATATCGAACGTCGTTATCCTCAGAATGACGAAGTTCACAATTGCTTGACCTCGCACTGCGTGAAGGACTACGATACTGCGCCACATTTTTAGCATTGACTTCCCGCTATAATTTGAACTATAATAAGCTATGGTAAGATTGCCTGGGGCGTATTCAGTCTACAAATGGTAAAAACTAAAACCTTGGATCATTTCGGCACAATTAAAGTTACACAATTTAAGCAGAATTTGGCGTATGATGAAATCGGTGTCATGATCTTTACGGTGCCAGCAAGAATATTAAATCAGTACCTTCAATATTACGGCACAGCAAAGAGCGTTACGGCATCCGAAATAAGTAATCCGCTATAGGATTTGTGAGAAAAATTGAGGGTGCAAAGCACACACAAGAAACGGTGCCGTGTAGGTAATCACGCATTCTTACCCTAAATAGTATATAGTAAACAAGTGCACCTGGATTCATATATACATATGTGTGTTTTTATGGCAATATAAATAATAGATAGCTTCTTAAAAGCTGACAACTTTCAGCTTGCTAAGCATTTATGGGTGAGATTGAATATCTGGATGCTCTCGTGGAAACGCGTTTGTATACTTCAGGTGACCTCATAGTCCGATACGGGGCGTAGACGCTGTTTCACGCTATGGGCCAGTCGCAATACTAACGTAGTGTCTAAGGACAGTATCGAAAGTAAAGCTAAAAACGATCTAGATGTTATCAGTAGCGCTTTTAAAAAATCCACTGACAATATACACTACATTTGTCTCAGATTAGTCTAAATCATAACAGTAATCAGACTAATTCTATTTACTGAACTCTGCCTTTAGACAGCGATTAAAGGAGCGTCGATACAAGCGGCAGTCTTTGTGTCCGAAGTGACGCCTTCACTTTTTGCTGTACTACAGGATCCTGTCTTATATTGCTCTTATATTGCGCCAAATGGAATTGGGGCATGTGATTTTTAGGTAGCCTTACATAGAAGAGTACAGATTAGCTCGGTGATGACGCCACTGGTCGTTATCGAATTTCAGACGACATTTTGAAGCACATAGGTATATTAATGGCCACCATCAGGACTACACTTACAGATTCCATCGCTTTAGAGGGTTAAGCTAATTCTGCAAGACGAAACACACATTCGACCTGGTACATAGCCCTTGTGACCTTGGTCGTCCAATTTAAGGACCGTCCCTGCTAGCACTACGTATAACATGTCCCTTTCATTTAACGAGTACAAGATTCCTACAATACTCTCCCTAACCTCGTGTAAGTTAACAGATGCAAAATGAAGATGCACTCTCAAGAGACGTTTCGTTGTCATTTTCGGTTTGAGGCCACTGTGGTGTCTGCAATATTCCATAAATCTATTTTGTTTTAAATATTGATAATTTGCCGCGATGGCATACGTACATCACAAAGGTGACAGTTAAACAATAATTTTCATTAACTATGTTTTTAATAGGTCACTATGTCGCGCAGTTAGCGATCTTTACCGCATTATCTGATTGAGTAATCTAATAATGTAGTTGGAAGATGAAATAACTCGTTAGCATACCTTTGTTCGCTTTGATGAAAAAGCTTCGTCTGAGGCTTCTTCAGCCAGTTGACGCGAGAAGCGCGATATCGAGTCATCATCGAAGCTCCTGTTACATATAACATTAATTTTTACCGAAAGGCCCAATCAGTTTTCGATTCTGATTTAACTGATATAGGTAACTTTCTCATGTAGATTGAGTAGAGCGTAACGTGTCATTTAATGAAATGCTGGAGGGTGACAGATGAAACAGTTAGGGCCGCGATGAGGTATACAGGCCACTGTAGACTTGTACCAGAAAATTCGTAATAA